GGATGAATGTACAGTTAGTCACAGTCAAAGAAACATAGCTACACTGAAAAAGAGGCCAAGCTCCAACATTCAACAAAAATATAAAGGCAAAACTTCTTGCTTTGCTCCCATTTTTTATGAGATGAACGGAAAGATCTAAAACTTTTTCCACATACACAATGTAACCATTTCCCACAAATATTGTTCACAAAGTCTAAATCTGTGAAAGTGAGCACTTGCTTCGCTTTTCAGATTATGTGGTTACCTCAGATGCTGCCTTACTTTTCTGAGATAATCCCATCATATTTAGAGTGGTGCTAATGATTTTATTCTTCATATAATCAATCTTATTTATAAAGAATCCCATAAAACAATTACTGCCAAGAGCAGGGGAATGGATGGTTCAACCTAGTATATTTTGCTTCTAAGTGGCCAGATCTGCATTAGTCTGCAACCAGGGAGCCAGCTTTCTATCTTTAAAGTTTTTCTTTTTCAAAGGGTCTATGTTGTCCAAGGCCAAACAAAGAGAACTAGAACCCCATCAACAAAATCATCAACATGTGATGGGGAATAAACCAAACTTTTTTCCTCTGTAGCTCTGCTCAGCAAAGCAGAGGAGAGAGAAATCAAAACAGAAACTGCATTATTTGATAATGATCTGCTAAAGTGAAACCCTCTTTTCGGAGAGGAGAACTCTTTTAAAGTAATTCTGAAGGCTAAGCGAGGACAGGTTTGTGAGGAAATGCTGTTCTTCACATTAAATGCCATACATATGTCAGCACAAGGTCCAAAGTATGAAGATGAGAATGTGTGGGACTATTCACATTTTAAACAAAGCCAATCACCTCTAAGAAAGCATTAAAGGCTGTATTTAAGCTGTCACCTTCAATGTCAGCATAGATGTTAGGATGTTAAAATTCCCCACTATGATACTCCTGTAAGTACTCAACACCAAATTTGATAGGAATTATGAAAAACTCATCTAAACATTCAGAGTAAGGACCTTGTGGATGAAACAGTGTTACAAAAGAAGAAGGTTTGTTGCTTTGCAAATTGGATGAGGGAAACTAAGGGTTAATTTTAAAAAGATTTGTAATGATTAACTGACTTTGGAATAATCAGTACTTATGCATAGACAGCTGAAGATAGGAACCAGAAACTCTGTGACCCCAGCTGGGATAAAGCGTGATGGATGGATGGATGGATGGATGGATGGATGGATGGATGGATGGATGGATGGATGGATGGATGGATGGATGGATGGATGGATGGATGGATGGATGGATGGATGGATGGATAAAATAATCAATAAGTCAGACTGAAAGATTGTTGTTACTTCTCCTGCTCTACCAGATTTTTTGGGTACGTGAACATTTTAAAAGCTGTCCTCCACATAACTTCCTGTGGATTTCTCTCAACAAAGCTTTTCATCTTGTCTGCTTGTAGCAACAAAGGCCAAATCTTTGGATGGATGATTGATGCTTGTTAACAGATTATTTCATCTGAATAGATGTCTGCAACTTGTGCAATGTTATCATGAATAACTTGGCTGCCTATCTGGTTAAGACTTCAGAACACAGCACTGTGAAAAGCATAAGCTTAAAGGTGGCTAAATACAAATGGAAGTCCCTTTTAACAGATTTCATTCATAAAACAAATGTTGATTATTTATTAATCTGTCAATTATCTTTTCAATTAATCGATTGATAATCGGGTAGCAAATGGTTCCTTAAATAACTTTTTTTTTTACAGATTTAAAAGAGGTGAAACTAAAACGTTTCTACGTGAGGATTTCTGGATGGAGCATATTGACAGACAATAATTTTTTTTTTTTTTATCTTAAATGCACATATAATCACTTGGTCAGATAAAGGCACATTTTAGAGTCTCTAAATCCCAATTAACAATGAATCAATTACTAAATTAGTTGACAGTTATTTAAATAATCGATTAATCACGATTAATCTCATTAATTATTTCAGTCCTAGTGGAAACCATGCATTCTTTAACTCTTCGCTTTACCATGATCTACTTTGTGTTGCTCTTTCTCATTGATTTTAATAACACAGATCATGTTTGAGGCTGTATTTCATACTGTAATATCTAGAAAAGGTTTATGGGTAAGGGGATTTTGGTTGTAGCTCAGAAAATCCATGATAGAGAAACGACATGTGAAAGCTTTTGTGTTAATGTTGATTTTCAGCTCTGCACACCAGATGTCCTGCCTTCGCTTCTGTCTAAGAAGTATTCCCTCTGTTTTAAATGCAGCAACATTACTCAACAGCTCTGCTCAGAGCAGAGGCAGAGACTTATTAAAGGTCAGCGCTGCGTGTTTGTTGCTCAGATCCTTTGTGCCCGGTTGCGGCTGTTTTCAGATGGACATGGCCCACTGTGTAGTATGGGGCTTAATTTGAGATTAACACATAACAGATTACGACACTCCATGCCTGACCTTCTCTGTCTAGTCAGCCAGCGATGGATGGATGATGGCTCTTATCTTTCTGTGGTTACAACAACTCGGGCTCGATGCAGAGGATGTGGTCAGCCATGAAAAGCCTTTAAACTTGTTGTGTGACAGGTTTAGTATAAAAGTGGGGATTAAGTACAGGATGTCTTTAGCAAATCCATGTCATGGTGGTTAAAAATAAAACAAAGCCAGCCTGAATTTGATTAGGTTCTCCTGGGAACATCTGTTCCTGCTGTTTAGTAAATCATGGACGCAAACTTGTGATGATACCGGTATTGAGCTTTGGAGAAAAAAAATTTTGTTGTTTGCTGTCATGGAATAAATTGACTTATCTGACGCCTCTGTTGATGCACACTGCTGGGTTTCCTTTGATAAACAACTTTTAAGTAATTTGCATATTAAACTATTTTATTTTTGATTTTTATTATATTATACAGATGTCATTGCTTTTTATTTCAGTTCAATATAGTATTATTTTTTGTATTTCTTTATATTTTATGTTATTTTCGTTTTATTTTGCATCATGTTGATGTAATTTTTCTGCTATCTTATTATGTTTAAAAGTTAAGAGAGTTTGTTAAATTATTTACAGTCATTGAAAACATATAAGACCACCCTTGTTTTCTTCATTTTCTTCTTCGTTTTAAAGTCTGGCACAACTAAAGTTATATTCGTGTTGAGAAACATAACACTAAAAAAACAATTCAAGAGTTAATTTTAGAACTGTAATGTAGATAATTTGAATTGTGTTTCTAAAAATAACGAAGAGAGCCTATGTCAAAGGATTTTAGTAATTTCCTTTTTTTCCTACCTTAGTCATAGGATACACAGGAGCCAGTACTTGATACGGAAGAGGATTAAGGCCATTGGAAAAAAAAAAAAGGGGTTAACTGATTTTTACCTTTTTATTTCAGTTTAACATAGGAAAAAAGTCAGAATTCTGTCTTTAATCTCAGGATTCTGACTTTTTTCTCAGAATTCTGACTGAATTCTGACAATAAAAAAGTCAGAATTCTGAGATTAAAGTCAGAATTCTGACTTTTTCCCATGTTAAACTGAAATAAAATTTCAAAATCAGTTAACTTTTTTTTTTTCCAGTGGCCCTAATCCTCTTCCGTAACTTGATGAGTGATGCGTAGCAATCTTTTTTTCTTTCTTTTTTTTGTTGTTGCTGTAGTTGTCGGATTTTCTTTGTATAATTGTATTCAATCACACAGATTTTATTAAAATCTTTTTTAGGTCATGGCCTAGTATCTTAATCAGATTAAATGCGAGATTTGACAATGGCTTTTTACACTCTTCAGCTTAAACCTTCAGATATATAGTTTTTGGTCCAAAAGCCAAGAAACCCTTACCAATTCAAAAGAAGTCATCTAATAGTTTGGAGCTGAATTTCATTTGTTTGAGATATTTTAGCCTATTCCAAGTGACCAGAACCATCATCTTTAAGATTAACTTGATCCACAGATCAGACAGTAATCAGGCGTATGCAGTGAGGAACGTCTAACTGAAAAAAACCCTCATAATTATTTGTCATTTAACTATTTTTAACAATTTTCTTTTTTCTTTTTTTGCCCTGTTTTGATTGGGAAGCTTTTATTTGTAAATAACTTTCATTATTTAAGAGGTTTATCTTTATTTAACATCAGAGTTTTTATGATCTCAAAGATTAAAGTGTGAAAAAAGAAATCATCATAGAGGGCAAATGTGGCTCGGTTTTAAGACATTGCGTCTCTTTAGTTTTAAACCTCAGAAATATTAAATGAACAGATTTCCCGGTTAATCTCTTTCTTTATTATTCACACACTGTGAATCCTTTCTGTCAATTGAAATCAAACTGCCAGCTGCCCCATGCTCCTCCATTCTCTTCCATATTTCATGTGATTCATTAAAAGTTGATTTTAGAAGCACTTCAGCATCCTGACATTTTTTCTGATCTTCGATTTAGTCCTCCTCAGCACTTCTGAATGAAAAGAAAAACCAATGCTGACTTAAACTAGCCAGATGCAAAGTCTCAGCATATTAGTTCACAAATTAAGAAGCTAATAAAAAACTGTATGCTGGTTATTGACCTTTTTCTGTAAAGTTTTCATATAGCAACTACATTAATCAAATGAAAATTTCTTTTGGCTGCATTACACAAAGGCCAAACTAATCTCAGGTCTTAATGATAATCTTGTTAAAAGGAGGAAAAAAATAAGAATGCTGTTTTTTTATAACTCAACAACAGCTTGTTTTGTTTATTTAGTCAAATCTTTCAGTCCTACTTGCATGGCTTCAAATACAGAAGCCAAACTAATGCAGATGAAGCTAATGATTTACCTTCCTGGGTCAATTTGTCAGAGAAAATAAAGCAACTAGCCATATGCACACACACATTCCTTTCTATCTAAATGTTTAACTGAGTAAATTGTAAGACTTGTCCTGTTTATTCTACATGCTCTGAAATCGACGTTTGCATTGATGAATGCCATCTGACAAGTGTGTGTGGATGTATGTGTTTGTGTGTTCCTAGAGGCTAACATGTTTCGTTAACACTATGTTTGCACTGCAGAGCCCCAGCTGAAGGGCATTGTCTCACGGCTCTACTGCAGACACGGATTCTACCTCCAGATGCTGCCGGATGGCACCATGGAAGGCACAAAGGACGAAAGCAGCTCCTTTTGTAAGTTAAAGAACTCCAGTTTACTGATTATTTTGCTGCCAGAGGTGTTTGGTTCAGAGCTTGCCAAGTATTAAACCCTTGGTTCTTCAGGTGACAGAATTTTAATTATGTAACTTACAGGAGATACATAATTTATATTTTAATGCACTTTGGGAAAATTAAGCAAATACATGTCAACAGGGGTGATGAACTTGGCAATGGCTAAGATTGGTGCTTCAATCTGTTTTCTTAGGTCTTGGTGATTCCCCAACCATCTCTATGTACTTTTGCACCTCTGCCACTATAGTTTGACCAAGATGTGGACATTATAGACAGGGGTAGTTAATCTGACTGGTAAAGTTGATTTTATATGAAGCATCACTGGCACTTGCTTGGAGCAACTCACCTTTTCAAGATGAAATGTCAAATTAAATTTATCTTGTATGTTCTATTAATATTGTGAATGCTGTGACTTAATACAATAAGCAATTCTACATGAGAGGATAAATAAAGATCCATTCTGATTGTCACTTTCCTTGAAATTTGTGAACTTGACTTGCAGCTTGTTCTTAATCCATTCATTTAATGTAAACACAGAAAGCGAACTTGTCCTCTGTACTGGTTAGATGTGATGTTAGTACAGGAAGAGCATGTTGGGAGCATGAATTTTTCCAAAAAATATAGAGCCTAAAGGTTTAGAAACCATTGTCCAAAAAAAAAAAGAAAGAAAGAATTGTCCAGAAAATCACAATTGATTGAATAGTCCTGCCCTCTCCACTTGAAAAAACTGCACATGCTAAAAACTGTACCTTCTCCGGTGAGGGAAGGTCTATTAAAAGAGTATGAGTCTATTAAAAGAGTATGCAAAAGCTCATTTCTCCTCATGCATGCTATGTTTAATAATTGCTTTTCTCATAGCTCATACAAGCTTACTGTGTCCGAACATTCGCCCTAACCCTTTAATCCCTCAATCACTATATAAAGTGGGGACTTTATAGTGAACTCAGTTAACTGACTATTCGGGCAAATGATCACTACTTTTTGCACCCCGTTGGTCGCGTCACTCAGCGTCAACCTGCGATATCTTAATTAGTCGCAGGTGTCTGGTAGCCACAGCCTATGGTGACAGCAGGGGGCCGCTTTGACAGCAAATCCCATAATGCTTTGCGAGAAGAGCTCTCCGCATTCTGGGATATATTTGCCTCTTCTGATGCCTTTCTTTTGTTCTCATACACTTCTTAGACACTTTGTCTCTTACGACGCGCGGCCATTTTCAAAGAACCATAGTGAAAAAGGTGAGGTTCTATGACTTTCTGAAACCGCAGCTCACCACAGATATACGCCCGAAAGTGCGCAGAAAAGGATAGAAAACCTGGGACGAGCAAGTAAGACGGCCTTACGTAAACATATCACCAGAATTATTGACAATTAGAAGGACCACTTATTTAGATGATCCACCTGGAAAAAGAACATCATTTAATATACCTTTAAGTTTAAAATTCTTCAGGTACCAAACTCGCATAAAGATGGCTCTCTCAATGAGCAAAGGAAACCATTGTCCCGCTCTGAGAATTTAAGTGGTCCACCACCTTTGTGGCTGTTTTGCTTTCCCTTTGAAATCCCTTTGGTGTTTGTTATGATGGTTGATGATGGTAGAATATTTTGCAGAAAGGAAATATAATGTCTTGCCGGTCTGTTCTGATGGTATCCCTTTAGAATTCCCTGAGCCACTGAGAGCAACTCCTCCTTTAAAAAAAATAGTTGCTGAAGATGCTTACATGCCTAGATAGTAGATATATGTCTATGTAAACATGAGCGATTTGAGGACCTGAAATCAGAGCTTTCGTGTGGCAATGCCGGAGTATTAACAGCTTCACCAACAGACTACAGAAAAGAATATTAAAAATCTCAAAAGGTATAAACGTCCAAATATGCTGTCCAATTTAGGAATTTATCACCAGTCCCCAAGAATTGTACATATGGAAATTGTGGTTCTTGTCATAGTTGTCCTTGGTGGCCTTGTGAGTCTTTAGGGGATGGGTGGTTATTATATGAAGTGTATTTGTGATTGTAGTCATGGTTAGCTCTTGTGTGCTTGTTGTAGTTAGCTTTGTTGTACTCACTGTAGAGCAGGGGTATTCAACTCCAGTCTTCCAAGGCCGCAGTGCTAACACTTTTAGTTTTTTAACACACTTGATTCAGTTTATTGCAGTTCAGCAAAAGCTTGTTAACCAGTCAACAGTGAAAATCAACTACGCTGAAGCAGGGACACATCTAAAGGATGCAGGAAACTCGCTAGATCTAAGGACTTAAGTTTAATCGTCCTGATATAGGGGTTTATTGTTGTTAGAATGATAAATGTAGGTGGCATCTAGATAAGCATTTTGAAATTTTTTTGGATATTGAAGTTAGCGGGGGTTAATATTGGCAGCAGTTTCGAGTAAATGAATCTTTATTAACAGTTTAGTAAACATACTTGGAAAATAGTTATCTGTAAAGAAGGTGTCAAAGAGGCAACTATTATTCAAGACACACAAAGAATGAACACATTTTTCAGGAAGCAAATCAAGGAAATATTGGATGCACATTCTATACCATAATGAGTTGCCATTTCCCAAAATAGAGATTATAATAGATATAATTTAATCACTGTTAAGAACACTACCCTTAATCCATTAGGCCCCGCAAATACCAGATGTAATGTATAAGTTTTTAGGCTACTTCTGGTTTTCAGCATCTGTCCAAAGTTTTGAAAATTAAAGCTTTTCACTTTTCAACCTTTTAAATGTCTTTCAACCAATTTTTACTCGGTGGATATAATCTATTCTTTGAGGCGTATAAGCTAAATGATTAGCATTGCATAAAATTTGTTGAATGAAATATCAGTGATATTCCTTTTTTTTTTTCCATCTTCGTTACTTATACAAACACCATTCAGCCTTCTTTGGGTCATCTCCTCTATGATAACTGACTAAAATCAACGTATTCCCGACTCCAGGAGTCCCTCCAGCCCTCCCTGAGAGATCAATATTATATTATACAATATCCCTTATGTTGCAACACAGCAGATTTTTTTCTGTCAAAACAACAGTTTAAGCAGAAAACATCAAGTCGGCACAATTTCAGATTTACTACCTCCAGCAAAGAGTGGAAACATCACAGTTTGACTCTATGTGAAGCTTATATTTCAGCCTTTTCATTAAAATGTCAGAATGTGGCAGCTGAAGTGTTACCAAGCTGGATCTAACTCTGAAGCCTTCCCAAGGCATTTGTCCTGAAGTTGGGCAGGTTTTCAGGAATGTCTTTATTCAGCTTTTGACAAGTAAGACAAGCACAACTGTCAAATAACGACCTAGGTTGAAGAAAGTACTGAATCTGTGGGAAAACCGGCGTGAAAAAGAATGCACGTGTTGAAGTAGACATGTGAATTTGGTCGTACAGGTCCAGTAAGCTCAGCTGCCGCCGATTATTCCAACTCTTATGTAACAGCACACCTACGCCTGGGAAAAACACCGCAGCGCGGCTGAACTTTAAACAGTCTCATGTCCAATCTGAAATATTCATCACTTAATACCGCAGGGCACATCCGAAGGCGAGCGGAGCTCATTTCCCAGACAGGTGTAAAGATTGTTGTTGTGTAACCGCATTTCCCTTCTCATATGGCAGAGCGTCGAACATCAGTCAGCTGAGGTCACCCCCGCATTTGTGTGTTTGCGTGGGTCCGACTTTACCGGCTGATTTTATAACAGCTGTAACTCAGTCAGAGTCTGGATGAGATGGAAAGCAGTCCGTCTCTCTTTTTTGCATTCACAACGCAAAGCACGGAAATTGTTCCCTTCCTGCATGAGTTGGATTATTTAGTCTCTCACATCATTGGAAACTGGTATCAATCAGCAGCACAATCATCTACCTGACTGCACTGAACATTAAAAGAGGGGGGAAATTGCTGTGTGAGCATGTTCTGCTGCACTGAGTGGGATATGCATGAAACAGACTGTGGAGACGTTTCCTGTGAGGTGTTACTTTGAACCAGACAGCCCTCTGTTTCAGCTCCAGCTGACATCCTGCCTCTTGTATCTCAATCTTCTTTTAAATATCTGCAGCCATCATATCTTGGTGGGGAGCCTTGGAACTGTATTGTACCTGTCGGATACTTTAGTTTGATTTCCTGCAGCTTTTTAAAATGTTTTGCTTTTTAACTGTCTTAAGTCTGGATAATTTGTACCATAATTAGGCTGTACTTCATGGCATAGCTTTTCCCCCTAATTAACTTGGAGATCTTCCAAGAATACCATTTTCCCAGTCTCTTTGTTATTGATGAAGCATAGGGGCTTCATCAATAACTGTCTGTTATTTAACCTCCTGGATCTTGGAGCAATTTTTTTGGCTGCCAATCACTCTTGGAAAGTTCAACTACGGTTCCATCTTATCTACATTGTCAAATCTAGGGTCTCGCTGAGGTTTGCTGGAGGCGCAAAGCCATAAAAATGTCTCAATAACTCTTTGCCAAATATAAATGGCTTATTTTATTACCTGTACCTGAATTCCTTTGGCTTAGTACATGATGATGCTTTCATGATGATGTCAGATATGTTTTATTTACAGACAAGTGAAACATGGTTGTTTTTATGTTTGTTTTTAGTTGCACTTAAACTATATACAAACTACTTCTTGTTGGGGATGTGGTTTTATGGAAAAATGACCTGCTTCATTTTGAAATATGTCAGCCATACCAGCTTGTGTCTGGGAATAAGGTTAAGGTAATTAAGGTAAAACTTAAAGTTCAAAAAGGAACTGTCAAAGTACCTTCTTTCCAAGTAAAAAGGAGAACTCTTTCTCTTCTTTTCTCACCTCATTTTTCTCCCTGCTCTATTACATAACAGTGTAGGAGCAAAGAGAGAGAAGGAAGAGGACATTTGCAGATGCTCTGACCTCCCTACAGAGGGGGGAGACACAGTGATTGAGGAGCCATCAGCTTCATGCCTGCTGCTGCATGTCCTCCATCTTTTACTCTGTGTCAT